AGCTTAGAAGAATGTATATTCTAATTTTGTGGGGTGGAATACTCTGTAAAGGTCTATTAAGTCCATTTGTTCACACATTTCATTTAGTTTTGTTATTTCTTTGCTGATCTTTTGTCTAGCTGATCTATCTCTTTGTGATGATGGGGTGTTAAAATCCCGTTACAGTTGTGTTGTTACTTATTTCATTTTTCACGTCTGCTAACATTTGCCTAATTTAATTGGGTGCTCCTACATTTGGTGCATATGTTTATGATTGTTATCTCTTCCTCCTGCATTTTCCCCTTAACAAGCATATAGTGATCTTCTTTATATCTTTTGATCATTGTTGGCTTGAAGTTCATCTTGTCTGCAAACAGAATAGCTACTCCTGCTTTTTTCTCGGTTCCTGGTGCATGGAATATTGTTTTCCATCCTTTGACTGTCAGACTATGGATTTCCTTTTGAGTTAAATGAGTTACTTGTATGCAGTATATTGTTGGATTTTGTTTCTTGATCCACTCCCCCAGTCTGTTTCTTTTGATTGGTGAATTGAGGCCATTCCTTAAAAGTTATTAGTGATATGTATTGACTTCTCCTTGTCATGTTATTTTCCCACTGTTGTTTCTGTACTTCCCCCTCTGTTTAACTGCTTACCTTGCTTAGTAGTTCTTTTCTATTGCTGGTCTTGAGATTGTGCTCATTTTTATCTCTTGGCAAACTATCATTCAACACTCTTTGTAAGATTGGTTTGGCATTCATGAATTTCTTCAGGTGACCTTTGTCATGGAAGTACATTATTTCTCCATCGATTTTGAAAGATAGCTTTGCAGGGTACAGCAATCTGGGTTGGAAGTTATTTTCTTTCAGGACCTGAAATACTTCACTCCAAGCTCTTCTTGACTTGATAGTCTGTTTTGAGAAGTCTGCTGTGATTCTGATGGGCTTTCCTTCATAGGTGATCTGTTTCTTTTCTCTAATAGCTTTTAATATTCTCTTCTTTTGCTCAATTTCTGGGATCTTGGTTATTATGTGTCTGGGTGTGGATTTATTTTGGTTATGGCTAATTGGAGTTCTATATGCCTCACTTATGTATATATAAGTTTCTTGTCCCATGTTTGGGAAATCTTCTGCCATTACTGCTGCAAATAGTCTTTTTATGTTGTTCATGTTGTCTCCTACTCTTTAATTGACACCCAACAGCCTTATATTGTTTTTCTTTGCCTCATCTTGCAGCTATTGAATTGTTATTTGCTGTTCCTTCATTATTTTTAAGAGACCTTTTCTTTCACGATCACTAGCTGCAATGCTGTCTTCAAGGTCTGAGAGTCTATCTTCCATTTCATCCAAGCAGCTCTTCCAGCTTTCAATGGAATTTTTAATTTCCTGAATGTGTCTTTGAATCTGTTTCATGCATTTTAATTCTTTCCTATATTGTTCATTTAAGGTTTCCATCATTTTTCTGTGTTCCCCTATTTTTTTAATCTATGTCTTCTTTTGATATGCCCAGCAATTCTTTCATTATGGTTGTCATGTTTTTTTTTTACCTGAGTAATTATTTCTGATCTTATTTCCTCTATAGCCTGATGTAGTTGGTTCTTTACTTCCATTGCAATCAGTTCAGATATTTTAGCTGTGTGAGTTCCATGTTCTTCTGTGTTGATGTTTCCTGAACTTGTCCTGGGTGGGGTGTTTGGCTGAGATTGCATTTTGCTTCTTCTTTTTGTCGTTTTGAAATTTACCTGGGTTTCTAGGATTCAGGTTCATTCCTGAGTTGGCAGCAGGGGGTGGAGTCAAAGGACCCGGGCACTCAGACAGCTTACCCACACAGCTCACCCAAGCCTCCTGAGTCCAAGCCCCCTCCACCGGTGGTGGTAGGGGGTGGGGTTGGTGCATCTGGAATTCCAGGCAGCTCACCTAGGCTTCCAGAATCCAAGGTCCCTCCCATGGTGGCTGTAGGGCGCAGGGCCAGAGGATCTGGGACACCAGGCAGCTCACCAAGGCTCTCCTCATCAAAGGTCCCTCTGGAAGGTGGCAGCAGGGGGTGGGGCAGGAGGATCTGGGTTCCCAGGCAGCTCACCAAGGCTTCCTAAATCAAAGGCCCCTGCTGTGGTGGTGACAGGGGCCAGGGAATGAACTCTTAATGAACTGGGTGTTCTCATATCCACTTCCTTTGACAATAGTGCCACATCCAATGCAGGAGCTGAGGACAGAAACAGCCATGCTTCCTAAGCCTGTTTTTGCAACGCCTGTCATTTGCACTCATGCTGAGTCCACGTCAAGCTCAGAGGCTGAATTTGGCACCATCTCTATCACAGGGTGGCAGAGGCTGTTCTGAATCAGTTGTCCTAATATACTGGGGCTACATCCTCTGCCAGCTCACCTGGCAAGGAACAGGACCAAGCAAAACACAAAAGTGCCTGTGTGCCTGTGCCCTTGCTCTCCTGTTGACAGCCTGATGTGTTCAGATTCTCTTCTGTTTTGGATAATAAGGCCAGGCCACCTAACCGCAGGCCGATCACACCAAACCCTCCCCTAGGCCTCTCTTCATTCATTGTTGGATAAAATCATGTCACGGTGTTATGTGTAGCAGGGATGAGCAATCTGAACCTAGTTTTAGCAATGTCTGGGAAAAGAACTCCAAGAAAGAATGATAAGTCAGAAGACGATCTGTACTGTCCTTGCTGTGAGTGAGTCTGAATGAATAAATTATTTTTCTTGTTTTGATGGCACTAGCTCTGTGTTGCTGCACCTACTATGTTTCTCTTCATTTATAAATAGCACAATCAATTCATACATACTGAATATGTTACCAAATACCTCAGCTTCATTACTGAATATATTGGTAAAAATCAGCTTTTTTTTTTTTTACTGGCCCATATTTCTCTGCAATGTCAACCTTAAGATGAATAAATGGTATATTTTATACTCAACCAGCTCATTTTCATGTAGACTTTCTGATGTGTCCAAGAGCCCTTTCTCAAACCTAGCGGGTTAACTAAGGCTCCTTGTAGTTGCTAACACAATGTATTTGTTATCTGAAAATTAAAATGGTCTTACACAGCTGGGTGCAGTGGCCCATGCCTGTAATCACAGCACATAGGAGGATGAGGTAGGGACTGCTGTAAGTTCAAGACCAGCCTGGGCTACAAAGTGAACTCAAGGCCAGCCTGAAGTGAATAGCAAAACCCTGTCTCAAAAAGACAAAAATAAATACGTACATACATACATATATAAAAGGTCTTAAAGCATACCAATAACATCAACAGTAAAGAATTAAGAAATCATATGTATAGTCCAGAATTGGGATCCTACAGCATTGTTATTTTAAATTATTATTGTACCACCAATAATAAGAAAAGCAGCTACCATTTATTAAATATTTATTATGTGTGAAGGTCTATGCCAAATTTTGTTGAGTATTATCTAACAAAACTCTCACAAGAAGCCATGAGGCAAGTGTGTTATCTCCATTTGCAAGTGAGGAGGCTGAATTGCACACAGCTTCACTAATTTTCTCAGTGTTGTCTGGTGAGCAAGTGCTGGAGCAGTAGAGCAAGGCTGAAATGCAGAGTCTGTGGCCCTGAGGTCAGGTTCCTAAATGCTGGCTACCTCTTCCTATCTCTTCCCAGGTCTTCAGTGCATACACAGCATCATTATCCAACTAATAAAGAAGAGGCCATGCTTAATGAGCCTTGCTAACTTTGTGTTTTGGTTTAGGCCTTATCTGCATGGCAAAGAAGAGATGCTGAAGTGTTCAACCCTGAAATTTAAAAAGGTAAAAAGGTAGTGTTCTATAGCACAGTGGGATAACTATGGTGACAATAATTAACTGAATATTTCAAAACTGCTAGTAGATAAGATCTTGAATGTTCCCAACACAGAGCAGTGATGAATGTCTGAGGTGATAGATCCACTACCCAGATCTGATCATTACATACCATATGCATGCACTGAAATGTCACACTATACCCCATAAATATGTACAATTGCTATGTGTCATTTAAATAATGGTATAATATAAGAACGATAAAAAGGAAATAATGCCAAGTAAAGTGTTAAAAATAAAGTAATTGAGTGGTGACTACATTTCAAGGTATTTGTTTCCTATTCCTCTGTTATTTTTCAGGACAGTAGTGAAAATGAGAAAGTCACAGTGTTATGTGTGGCAAGATCACAGTTATTTAGTATATATAACTAATTTAAGAGGAACATAGTCTATTCTCTACATAGAAACCCAAGATGAATCTCTAAACACATACATTTTTTAAAACACAGCTATGGCTTCTTACCACAAATAAAGATTTAAAGCCCTCCCTTGCCTAGAAAGCTTGGCATGGTCTGTCCCCAAGTAACTCTCTGACTCCTTCCCATATTACTCTCTCCCATTTTCAGTCTTGTACCACTCCTGCTGGCCTTCTGCTTTCCTCAAGAGTGCCAAGACTGCCCAATTTGTACTTGCAATTTCCCATAACTGCGCAGTCTTTCTTTCAGATATTCCCATGTTCTCTCTCCCTACACTTCTTTCTCTGCTCTAACACACCACATTAGACACTGCTTTTATGACTCTCCCACCTCAAATATCACTCAAGGCCCCACACACATGGTCATTCACATTCACATACTCATATATATCCACACTCTCCCACTTTGACACACATACATTCTCATGCACATGCTCAAACACGGTGCTGACATTCTTCATCTTTTTTTCTGGCTTTAATTTTTAATAACCTGATGTTACCAGCTGATACTTTATTTTTTATTGCCTGTCTCCCCCCACTGGAAGGAAATCTCCATGAGACCAATGATTTTTATCTTTCTGCAATCATTGCTGTTATATCTCCAGTGCCTAAAACAATACTACCACATAGTAATAGTTTAATTATTATTTTTAAAATAAATAAATGAATGCATTTAGGTATTGAAAATAAATCACCTCAATTCTCATATAATCTGTGATGCAGTACACTTTAATGAGAAAGTGCATGGAGAGGAAAATCAGAAAGACAGGAAGGACACACCTTTTAGCATAGAACAGCTGTACAAATCCTGGGCTCTTTAAAGCATGATGATCCCCATCTGTCCAGTGGCATGAAAAAGTCTCTAGTTCAGGTGAACGGCACTTAATGAATTCATGGTTCCCAGAAGAATCTGTAGAATAAAAAAAAAGCATGCCTGAGATTAAAAGGTCATGTATAGTCCCAATGAAATACATAGGTAAAGTATGTAGAGGAGAAACTACTGTGATAAAACCAGCCTATTTCATATCTAAGAGGTGATGCCAACATCTTCCACAAAAGTTGCTTTCCTAAGTCATAGTTTTAAAGTCCATTGCTTGCCAATATCAGACTCTGGTTCTAAGACAAATTGTTTTGTCTTCATTTCAAGTATTATTCCTTAGGGCCTGTGTAATAAATCAGAACTAGCAATAAAGATTTGGGTACAGGTAATTCACTAAGAACGTGATCCTAGGAACTAAAAGTGAAAGAATGGGGAGAATGGGGAGGGAAAGGAGAAGAGTAGAGTGAGTAGAGTGTGTGCTGTTGAGCTGGTTACCACAGTGGCCATTAGGATATGCCTCACTGTTGTCCTGCAGAAGGTGAGGAGGTTGGATAATTAGTCACCAACCTGCAAACACCACAGGTCGAGCGCAGCACTGGAGATCTGTGCTCTGATATACTTTTAAACTTTGGCTGCTCCTGAGCTGAAGGTGCCCAGGAATGTGCACGGTGGCAGTGTCTTCTACATAGTTGATATTAGGTAGATGCCCAGGACATGGCATGGCAACCACAGCATCCAGTACAGGGATACTTTTCTTTCTATAGGTTTTTGATTAAAAAGTGACTTCTGCTTTCATGCTTTTAAGAGATTTCCCTAGTAAATACACTAAAAAAATATGAAGTGTAAAGAACTTATGCATATATGTATCAATTCTAATCTGAGAAGTAGAGAATCGCTCTTATGTATTAGAATATTAGGCAAAAATCTGTCTACATCTATGAAATTTTCATCTGTATGCAATGGAAAATCTGAAGAAACCCATTTTTGTGTATCAAATCTCAGTGTTTTGACATCCATGCCATATTGAAGACAGTCAAGTTTCTTCTTCCCTTCCATTTTTCCTTTCCTCTTCTCTCTTTCTCTTCTCCTCTTCCTCCTTCCTTCCTTCTTCCTCATTCTTTCCTCCTCCCCCTCTCTTCTTTCCCTTTCCTTTACTCCTTATATGATTAGTTTTGATTTTGATTGGAAACTTAATTAATTTGCATTCTGATCTAAAATTCATTCTTAGGCCTTAGGAAGGCATTCAGTCTTAAAAGTATCTTTATGAATACTTTAAAAGATAATTCAAAATAAATGAGATGCAAACAGAGACATAAACAATTCTGACTCTAGATTTCAGGTATATACCAGGTATGCTGAACCAGAACATGACTCTTTTTTCCTTTAGCAACAAACTCATAAAGGATAGACTATTAAAAACTTAAACAAACTCATTGTTTGGCCATTCAATCAACAAACACTTATAAAAAATCAGTTCTGTGCCAGGTCTGGTTTGGTGGATATAGCAGTGAGCAAAACATATAATCTTGGTCCTCATGGATTTTCCATTCCAGTGAGGCATGGGTAGGGAGAATCAGAAGCAATGAGACAGCTAGAAAGTGCAGACCTGGGAAGCGGGACCTCATTCCCTTTCCACTAACACCCATATCAATGTTGTGAAGAAGCTCAGGGTTGGGAAATATTTCCTGGTTAAATGTTTCCTGTTGCTCTGAATAGTCTAGCCACAAGCAAGTAAAACTTCATGAAATTCTGAGTGCAGACTTTGTCTTAGCACTGAGAACACATGTTGGGGGCAGCAGAACACTTTTAATAGTAAAATTCCATGGCTAGTTTTTCATAGGAAATACTTCTTTTCATGTGTGAACTGAGAAATTTAAAGAGTTCTGGGGTAGGTTTAGAATTTTTCCTGTTTCAAAAGCAGATGGGCAGCTCTTTCTATGTGCTGTTTACGAATCCCTCTTCCAGCAAGGAAATAGTGGAGCCTGTATGATATCCTCCAAATGAATTCTGATGTGTGCTTTGTAAGCCAAACACTTACGTACAAGAGTACCCGGAAAAGTTCCTTTTTTTTCCCTGTTAGCCAAGAGTGAAAGTAATCTTTATCTTTGAAAATTAATGACCACTAAGAGATATTTAAACTACAACTATTTTAATGCCTGGAGTTTAAGGAGAATATTTCACCATTTTGACCACTTATTTGCACAAAATATAAGAAGAGAAGATGCACTAGATTAGAAATTGAGAGGTTTTTGTTCTAATCCTGGCTCTGACACTATTTAACCTTAACCTTCTTAAGCCATTTAGACTTTTGTTACTTCAGTAGAAAGTCTGGAAGAGATGAGCTAGGAGGCAATTTACAAGTTCATAGGTATAAGTAAGTGACACATAACTGTCAAGAATAATGAAAAGAACCAAAATATAACTTCAACATTTGAATTAAACAAGCAGAGAACCAAATGCGAACACCATCCAGGTTTCTATATTCCCAGTGTAATATGCCTGTCACATAATGGCGAGAATGTTAAGTAAACCCAAACGTGAAACAGAAATCTCTGTATTCTCTTCGTAATATACCTGTCACAGAACAGCAAGAATAATAAAACAACCTGAAACTTCTTTTTTTTTTTCTTTAACAACCTGAAACTTAAAATAGAAATAGAAAAAGAAATAGTTTGCTAGTTGGGGGGGGGGAACCTTAAAAAGGAGAAAAGGACTTAATCTAAAACACATTTAGCTTACTTTAACTCAATATTTAGTTTCCATTATTTATTTATTCTGTTTCCTTTTAACTTCACATGTATAGAAAGCCCATATTATCTTACCATTCAAAATAAGAAACAGGAAATTGATAGTCATGGTGCTAATGTGAAGAAGTGTGTGGCCATATATGGGACCTTGGTATAGAGTGCAGCAAATCTACTTTGTCTTTGTTTTTTCTTTTTTAATGACTATATTTCCCTCCCTTTTACTTTCCCCTCTTTATCTCTTCCTTGCATCCTACTTATCTATTTCATTCTTCTTTTATGGTGAGGTATGAGTTATCAAGTGCTGTGGTAGGTAGCCTCTAAAGAGGCCCTCCCCCTGCTCACAATGATTCCTGCCTCCTATTATTCTGTTATATAATTCCTCCCCTGAATAACTTCCTTCTCATCAATAATCTATGGTAGCATGAAGGAGTTGCCATTCCATGGTTAGGTTGTGAAGATCAAGGTTTCTTACCAGAAGATTCAGCCTTTTGTGGATATTGATGAGAGTGGCTGAGAAACGCACGACAAAAAATTGAAGAGGTGGCCTTTGGTGAACAACTAGCACTCAGATGAGGCCTGCAGTACAACAACCTTGAGGAACTGAACCCTGCCAGCGTAAGAGAGCATGGGAGCCAGCCCTTTCCCTGTGTAGAGTTCAGATAAGACCACAGCACTGGCTACCACTTTGATTATAGCTCTGTGAAAGAGAGCCTGCAGCAGATGAACCAGCTAATGGGCTAATTATTAACTGTATTAAATATTTCACTGGTATGGATACATAACAAATGAACCCAACATAATGGAATTTGAAAGCAACACTCAAGAATGACACAAATCACTTTTTTTAAACACGTGAAAACTATCACAGTGAGTATGGGAAGTAACTTCTCCTTTGAAGTGTGGGTGTCTGTCTTGCTCCCCTTAGTAACCTCCTAGTCCATCCAGCACCACTGTCACTGAAGACATTCACTATTCCTAAAGTCCAGCTCTTTGTTGCCATCCTGAGGTTTTCCAAGTCTAAGAAGAAATGGCATAATCTTAAAATGAGCACATTTTACACCAAGAATCAGCAAATGGGATCACCAAATTAAAGATCTATAAGCAAAGGAAATAAAAGAGTGAAGAAACAACCTACAGAATGGGAAATACAGAATGGGAGAAAACTTTTGCTTATTCCATAGAAGAAGACTAATACCTAGAATACATAAAGAACTCAAAAACTTAGACTCTTCCAAAAAAAAAAAAACCAATGAAAAATGCCAACTGAACATTAACAGACAGCTTCCAAAAGAAAAAGTACAAGTGGCCAATAAGTATCAGAAAAAATATTCAGTAACTTTTGCCACTAGAGAAATGCAAATCAAAACAACACTAAGATTTCATTTTACTCCAGAAAGAATGTCTATTATGAAGAACTCAAAAAATAACAAATGCTGGTAAGTTTGTGGGAAAAAAGAAACACTTCTATACTCTTGATGAAATGTAAACTAGTACGATCATTAAGAAAATCAATATGGATATTCCTGAAAAAAATTAAAACTAGAAATCTTATTGGACCCAGCTATATCTCTTCTGGGTATCTTTCCAATAGAGTTAAAGATATCATATTGTAGTGTTACATGCAATCTCATATTTATAGCGGCACAACTTATAACAGCTAAATATTAGAAGTGGCCTGTATGCCACTCAACAGATAAATGGATATATAAAATTTGAGTCATTCATGGGAAAATGAATATACCTTGAGATTATAATGCTAAATAAAATAAGTAAGTCACACAAGCATAAATAGCACATGGTGGTGAGAAACCTAAAGTATAAATAATTCAGAGAGCAAAATAAAAATAGATGTTAGGAAACAGGAAGGTAGACTTTGTGAAGATGGGGTGGGGATCTAGGAAAGGGCAAACAGGGAGGAAGGGAAGGAGAAGGGAAAATAAAGAGGATTAAGATGCAATATGTATAAGTAATAATTCCCCATGATGAGTGTATTTTTTATGGATCAGAAAGATTTATTGATAAATATAAAATGAGCACATTTCAAAATATGTCTGAAAATTCTATTAGACCTTGTTTTGTTCAGTTCATTACGAAGACAGCAAATGGCTACTACAAACTTTCAAGTCCTTGTTGACAAGTGGCAGTCACTTCTGAACTAACAATTTTCCCTTCTGTGAATTTTAAACAAGGCTTAATCTTTATAACCGGGTATGATTGTACATACCTATGATCCCAGCATTTGGGAGGCTAAGGCAAGAGGATTGCTGTGAGTTCATGGCCAGCCTGAACTGCATAGCTAGACCCTGACTCAAAAAAGACTTAACCTTTAGGATATGTTATGAT